GCACATCACGATCTGCGCTATGTGCAAGGCGCCGCGAGTGCTTGTCAGGGCGGAAAGAGAGAACTTGGGCTTTTCCATCTTGACAATACCCAGCGTGGAGTGGCTCTTCAACAGGTCTGAAGGCGTTATGAAAACAAGCTGCTTTCGGAGGAAGATAAAAAGGCATGACATGCCAGATCATGCAAAAGACACTGCAACTATCACACCATAAAGCTCCACCTCGGCCTAACGATTATCATTGGGGAAGATACTCAAAAGTCAAGTCACATTTATTTATAGTGCTTTATACAAAGTTCATCAATTATGAAACAAATTCAATTCAGCTGTAAAGCAGCTCTACAGAACACAATAGTGTCACTATTCAGCTCAGTTTAATTAAGTGTTGATTTAATTCAGTTCAATAACTGTCAATGTTGCATAGTTAATCAATTATGAAACATTCAATAATTCAGTTCAGCTATAAAGCAGCTCTATAGAAGACAATATTGTCATTATTCAGCTTAATTTAGTTGTGTATTGTTTCAGTTCAATAACCGTCAATGTTGCAAAGGTCGTCAATTATAAAATTCATTCAATTCTATAAAGCAGCTCTACAGAAAACTGTGTCATTATTTCAAAGCTTATTCATTTAATCCAATAATTACGAAATGACTTCAATTTCATAAATTTAGCTCAATTTAGTTACAAAAAGTACAAAAAATAATTGTCATTATTTAGCTGAATTTAGATCAGCAACAATGTCATTTTGCAAAGTTCATTCATTACAAAATGAATTCAATAGCGTCATTTTAAAGCTCATTTTAGTTTAAAGCTTCAGTAATCTTTTTGGTATTGCAAAATTATTGCAATTATGAATCAAATTCAACTTAAGCATAAAGCAGCTCTACAAAAATGATAGTTAATATTAAATTCAATTAAGTTAAATTTTTATTCAATTCAGTTCAGTGACAGTGTCAATGTTGCAAAGTTAATCAATTATGAAAAAATTGAATTCTATAAAGTGGTTATAGAGAATGCAGTGGTGTTATTTATGATTCCAGGCTTGTTTTATTTAAAAAGAAAAGAGCCTTTAACACTAGCATTCTCTATTCTTTCTACTTGTTTTCTTTTTATTTAGTATAAATAATGAGGCTGAACCAAGTCAGATTTAGTCAGGTTAAAAAAGGTTCTGTGAAGTGAAAATCACTGGATGCAACCAACAAATGAGTTCTGAACATCTTTACTTTAAGCTGGATTAACTTTGACAGATGAAATGGCACTGTAATGGAGGAAAATTAGTCAAATGTTTCACAACCATTGATTATATTTAACAATCTTTGTTATTTATTTGTCAGAATCATATTATGGAGTAAGGAAATGTTGGAATTTGCAAGCTAGAAATGACCTTCAGTTTGCAACTGAGCTTATTTTCCTCAGTGCCACTGAGTTTTAGCTGGAAGAATATCTTTGAATAATATCTAGATACTGTCAATGTCCTGACTTTATTTAAATGTGCCTATGATAATCTAACAGCATGAGATTGTTCTTGCTAATGTAAGCATGAACACCGGTGTGACCATGTGCAGAGCTGCTTCAGAGAACTAAATTTATGTTTATATGTGTTAATACTGTCATTTAGCATTACCGCTCAGGCCGATCTAGCAGCTAAAGTCTGCTGCAGCCTCAAATCTGCCCTTAAGACATCTGACATCTGCCCCCTAGTGAATGTACAGAATAACAGCAGCTTTATACGTTTGCAGCCATAGAGATCAGTAAATGTGCAATATTTTCATGATTTTAGAAACATAAATGGTTTATTACTGCAGTTCGAAGGGATATTTCACCCAAAAATGAAACTTCCAAACCTGAGGTTCTTTCTTCTGTTGAACACTGATATTTTGAAGAATGTTGTTAACTAAACAGTTGCTGGTAGCCATTGACTTGAAAGTAGCCATTTTCCTACTGTGGAAGCCAATGGCTACCAGTAATTCTTTGGTTACCCATATTCTTCAAAACATCATATTGGTGACAAATGATGACAAACTTTTCATTTTTGGGTGAACCATCCCTTTCACATTAGTAGATATTCAAGAGTGGAGCAGCTTTCCTGTTGTCCTCATTACTCATTAGCCATGCATGATCATGCATTATCATTATGCATCATCTATGCAGGATTAAATTACTAAAATGGACTGCTGGTGAACTGCATCCATGTATATTACCTATTTACCACATTTACGTCCGAAGGGATATTTCACCCAAAAATGAAACTTCCAAACCTGAGGTTCTTTCTTCTGTTGAACACTGATATTTTGAAGAATGTTGTTAACTAAACAGTTGCTGGTAGCCATTGACTTCCATTTTTTTTCCCTACTGTGGAAGCCAATGGCTACCAGTAATTCTTTGGTTACCCATATTCTTCAAAAAATCATATTGGTGACAAATGATGACAAACTTTTCATTTTTGGGTGAACCATCCCTTTCACATTAGTAGATATTCAAGAGTGGAGCAGCTTTCCTGTTGTCCTCATTACTCATTAGCCATGCATGATCATGCATTATCATTATGCATCATCTATGCAGGATTAAATTACTAAAATGGACTGCTGGTGAACTGCATCCATGTATATTACCTATTTACCACATTTACGTAATATATTCTTTGATTATATAAATGTTTTCAGTGAATCATTGTAAACTGGACAATGGGTCACCTATTCCTTGTTATTTTGTCTGGTTGGTCTATATTTAAAGGGGTCATATGATGTGATTTCCGTTTTTCCTTTCTCTTTGGAGTGTTACAAGCTCTTGGTGCATAAAGAAGATCTGTAAAGTTGCAAACACTAAAGTCTCAAATCCAAAGAGATATTCTTTATAAATTTAAGAGTCAGCCACACCTACCTAAAACAGCTTGTTCTAACACGCCCCCACATATCTACGTCACTATGTGGGAAGATTTGCATAACGCCGCTCAAATGTTCACGCAAAGAAAGAAGGCGTAACTTTTATTCTCGCTGTAGTATTGTTG